CTCAAATTTAGTAATTTGACTCAGGTGTGTCAAATTTGTTATGCAGTCGGGGACTACAGAATCCTTCTAATGATCCGATTATTTGATTCAGTTGTGTTGAAGGAAAACTTTGCAGGACACTGACCCTTGAGAAACAAATAAGGATCATCATAATTCAGAGAAACATTGACCCTCCAAACAGTTTATACAACAGAAAAGATCAATTGCAACAACAGTTATGAAGAAAATATAAGATAAAGCGGAGTGAGAACAAAGCGAAGTGAGAATGAAAGGGAAAGAAAGATCAAATGAAATGAATTGGACAGGTTGTGATCCATCTCTTAGGGTCACATCGATCAGCGAGTGAAGGGATCCCTTACATCCAACTTTGAGTGCACACCCATCAGAAAGCCTCAACGCTGCACTCCCGGGCTGCAAATGAGATCCGAGAGCAATATACGAAGGAGGGAGAGAGATGCAGAGGTGCAAAATGAAACAAAAAAAAGTCTGCAGGGGTGGAGAAGAGATAAGGGAGAAAAATGACTGTACAGGATAATCAAGTGATGAGGCAGATGGGGAGAGGAAGTAGATAAATGAAAGGGGAAGTGAGAAAGGATCGCAGGCACGGCGCAGAAGGGAATACAACAAGAACCTGAGGTGGTGCAAGAAGTCGTGCGAGCGCACATCGACTAAAAAGTAGGTGCAAGACTCGGCAAGGAGACGTGGAGGTCAGCAGCCGAGTCAGCAAGCGACACAGAGACAAAAAGACGAGGGGTGGAGGAGGAAGAAGAGGTGGGAAAAGATGGCGAGGAAGAGCTGTGACTGATAACATTGTCGTATTCAGGTTGCCTCAAGGGCAGACACGAGTGAGGAAAAGAAAAAGGGATGAGACAAAGAAATGAAAAAGTGGAAATTTACAGAGGAGCCAGGGGCGGAAACGGTTCTGAGATGGAAGGTGAATAAGGATGAAGAGACAGGTGAAAGGAACTGCAGGTAGATGGAGGGAAGGGAAGGAAACGATCCACGGCTGTACACTAATGGAGTCGGAGAGGTATGGAGGTTAAAGCCGGGCATGCCCGGGGCAGATGGATGAGAGGGCTTCCACAAGGAGGCAGAAATTACAGACACTATGGATGAATGTACAGCAGGAAGGTTTCTATACGAGTGATGGGAAAGTGGAGACATGACTTGATCTCCCCAGTACTGAAAACACTTCTGATGGAGCTTTTCAGGGACAAGCATCAACCTGACGTGATCTCATTTATCCACGTTACAACATGTTGCATAATTCTTAGTAGATTCTTTGAGAGCCACTTCTACTACAGCTATTTGGAGTACGTCTCCACCGGTTTAGCACACCTAAAGACAAAGCTTTACCCGTTTTTCTTTGTAACTTTGCTCAGTCTTACCCAGACGAGATGGAGAGTGAAGCGTAATTTTAAGCTTTGTGTTGCTTTTCAGTTGGTTTTATGTTCCTTTACCAGCTTGAAGATGACGGCCTGCCTCAACCTAGCTGTTTTTATGACCGTCTCTGTTTCTCCTCCGGAGTTTATTTTGGCCTCCTGCATACTTCTCTGATTTTTACTACACTTCCCTGGACTCTCAACCAAGGGAACGGCCTCATCTCGTTAGGTCAACATGACACTTTTTGGTCACTTTGACCATTAAACAGTCCCTCCATGATTTTGCAAATACTATATATTTGTTTGCAATCAAAATCCCTGATTTTGTGATGCAATTTTGCAAGGAATTCCTCATCAAATCCTTTTAAAATCTATGTGTTTATATAAAAAGGCGAAAAAAAGAAAAAGCGGAAAATCAGACAAACATTATTATTCTTTAAAGAAGTAAAATATATCTATTTTGTTACTTGCAATATCACGATGGGTGTTAGTCACTCAAACCCAATGGTTTTGACCATTTTTGCAGAAAATCTGCAATAAATTCACAATTATGCAATACTGCAAAAACAATGCAGGGATCTATTGATTTTGTGCAGATTTCTGGAATTGCAGAAAACTTAAGGTACTGAAGTGTTTTCTAACAAATGTCTGAGGCTTTCACACACACGCTGTGTTTAATCTGTGAATTAATTACAGTCAGACGGACTCTTTTCAAAGTAATTTCAAAATAGTCATTTCTTAGAGGTATCAAATTAAAGCGGCCCAAATTTGTACATATTACATGCTTCTTGTGTTTTTACTTCTTAAAATATTATGAAACCTTATTTCCTGCCAAAATTATAATTTTTTGTGTGTTGGTCTTTCACATAAAATTTCAATGAAACCATTTAATGTTTGTTTAATGTGACAAAATAAGAAATTTAAAAAACTACGTGCACACATGAATAACACATTTCTGTTTGAGTCCAACATGGACTGCCCACAGGACCAGCTGTCACTGCAGGCATTCGTAACTTTGTCCCACGCACACGTCCCCACTGTCTCCTGCTGCAGGCGTTTCCTTCCCCTCCTAAAAGACTAATGTCACCAAGCATAAGGAAATGACTGTTGCCCTAAAAACCTTACACACTTCTTGGCATTCTGTACAGTTTCCAGGAATACAAGAGACACTAAATCTTTTAGAGCCAACTAGTGAAAAGCAAAAAGAGCCACGCGTTGTCACACACTTGAGTCAGCGAGCCATTCATGTTCTGCTCAGCGGATATAAACAGAGCTCTTTAACGACTACAATCAAGCCAGAATCCATTTTTTTACTCCTCAGTAACTAATGTCCCAGCGGTTAGAAGTTCTGCTGAAATGTTCTGTTTCAAAGGGAAACGCATCCCCATTAGCAGGACTATTCATGATCGCTCAAATTAATGGAATCTATTCCCATCACCACACTGCAGCAATGCTTGCTTTTATTCGCTCACTCTGCTTTAAGTGAGAACATTTAAGAGCGTGAGATAAAATTTATAATCGTTTCCGGCAGAGAGCGTCTTATCACTTTCTTCCTCTTATCTCATTATGAGACGAGTCCAAAAATGGGACGGCTTTATACGGAGCTCACATTTGGAGAACAGAGCGAAGCATGGGAAGCATGTGGAGTGGGGGTGGAGACTTTCACAGCGGCACCGCCTTGCTATCAGAGATGGATTGTAAACCCGCATAGCTTCACATGGATAGAGCAAAGCTTTGGAAACTATTAAGTAGCAATTTGCGTCAGCCTGTAACAGTCAGGATGATGCATGGCTCAGCCTGGTCGTTGCTCAAAGTCTCAGAGCTTGCATGTATTATACTGTACATCAATATGTAATCGCCAAGGTCTACGCTGCGTGCAGCACCACCCCGGAGACGCGCCATCCTTCTCCAGAGAAACCTCTTTGTCTTTCCTACTCGAAAATGTCATCCCCTCTTTCACCAGAAGTGAGACTGTTACTGTCAACCACTGTCAAACTCTCTGTATCTAGGTTACAGTTGCTATAACAACTGTTGTGCATGCCAATGAGTTTCAGTGAGTCACTCTTGTACCTTATCAAAGCCACAAAACGTGTGTTTACGGGCAGGTTTTCCACAAGTCTTGCATGTACAACAGGGGTTCTTTGTGTTGGTTTTTACAGCGTCGCCCCTTACAGAAACCTACAGTGTGACCTGATTCAGCTGTCAGGCCCACGGTTTTGAGAGAGAGTGGCTTCCAATCCCTTCTTGAAAATTTCTCTGAGCTGAATGACCATTTTTTCAGTCTTCTGGGGGGTTTACGTTCAGCCACAAAGGCTGTGTTCACTCACACACTCTCTCAGGAGATCTACACAACAGGTGTTTTTGTATTTTGAACAGTACTGGAGTGCTTCATAATCATGTGTCAAGTATCCTCAGTTTTGTGTCTAAATTAGCACCAGCAGGATACACAGGAAAGCAGGCCTAAATTGGATGAGATAGACAGCATGATTTTGTTATTTTTGGCTAACAACAATTTAATTACCATATCTCATCTTCAAAACCTTCTTGTGGGAGCAAATCTACATTTAACCAATAAACATTTTCACTGAAGAGGATAAATTTACATGCATAGACTACTACGTCATTGCAATAACACCAACTTAAATCATTATTTAAAAAATCAGATTCTTTGTAGGATAGGGTAGTTTTTAGATGTAGCCTGTCACAATAAATAATTCATAGAGAAACCATTCGAAATTCTGCTTAAATATATCTTCAACATGTTTATTATTCTGACTAAACATTGATTTTAACCTTTTTAGCCAATATAAATAAGCCATTTCAGGTCTCCAGATAAACTGGCAGCTAAACTGTGTAGATGTTTAAGAAATTCCACTTCAGCAATATTTAGTGAAAGCTATTTTCAGCTATTTTAAAGTAATGATGGAGACTCAAAGATGAAAGTCTGATTTTCTAAATTTCCATTTGAAAATACAACAAGCACGCCTAAAGTAAGAATTTATGAGCAGCAGTATTTTCTGTTTCTTCATGTTGACACACTAATATTAGCAAAAGTCCGGACATTTTAGGTGTTTTCTTGCTATGTATTTGACATTAGCATGCTAAAAGCTGGCTCAGCCTGGTCGTTGCGAGCCTGGTGTGATATAGTCGGCTCAGGCAGCAGAGGTATGTAACAGGGTTTTATTTTAATATTACAGATGTGAAGTTTGTCAAAATTTATTTACTCTTTGACTTTATTTTGTTAGTTAACAAGATGTTTCTCCAGACTTTTGTTGGGCGTATTAAGTTCTGTTATGCTGCTCCTGGCAGTTGGTGGTTGCCGTAGTAACCAGTAAGCGACAGCTCCTCCCCCTTTTTCTGTTGCCGTCGGTAACTGTGGCACAGAAGCTTCTGGACTAAAGTTGACCATCTTATTTTCCTCTTTTGTTGGGATAAATACAGTGAACCTGAGTGTGTCTGTCGTGAAGTCAACCTGCTGGACCTGAGACGATCATAGAAGGGCTACATATATAGAGTTTTACCTTAGCAGGGTACAAAAAATGTAATCACTGCCTAGCGGACTACGTAGCGACTGGTATGTAATGTGAACATGCAGTTTGAAAACGACGCATGCCTTCAAGTACACAATTTACAGCAATCATTGTAGTACCATTTGAAAATATGGGATATTTCTGCTACTCCGTGAGGAACAAAGTGGATACAACTTCAGAGTGGCAATTACAACAGCATGTAAATATGCAAAACAAGCCTTCTTTCCAGTCCTGTTGAGTCAGAGTAAGTGGAAGAAAGCAATCCAGAATAGAAAACTTGGCGAATGTATGAAATGTGTGGGAAAATATGTCAACATGATGGTACGGCTTTCTCTGATTATTATCTTGTGAAACAAAAATCATTTATGCTTATGTGCATTTTAAAAGGATAAATAATAATAAGAAAAAAAGCACTGAACAAATGCTAATATTTTGTCATAAAATCACATTTAAGAGTTATTAAAAAAAAATCAACGTGATCCTAAAATGTATGTCTCCTTTCTCTGCTCTTCTCCGTTTCTGCAGGTCTGTGGAAAGCCAGGCGATCTACCATGCTTGTCCCCCCACCCCTCCATCCATGCAGACAATTGCACCTGCCCCGCACACAACTCCACCCAAAACAAAAAGCAGAGGGATCAACACTTCCCTCTCTGTTCCCTTCATCCATCCTCTCCCTCTCATTTCTCCCCCCTCTATTCATCTCATCACTGTCCTCCTCATCCCACCTCCTCCACTGTGCCTGCCCCAGGACTTCTACCAAGCGAACCCTTCCAGAATCCGTCACTTTCCCGGTGTTTCACTGGCTCACGCTGGTCACATGCTGCCTGCTGCCCTCTCTGATCGGAGCAGGGGAGACGTGGGGCGTCGTTTCGGCCTGCCCGTTCCACTGTGTGTGTCGAAACTTATCGGAATCGCTCAGCACGCTCTGCGCCGATAAGGGCCTGCTCTTCGTGCCGCCGCATGTCGACCGGCGAACGGTGGAGCTGCGGCTCGCAGACAACTTTATAACAGAGGTGGGCGGGAATGACTTTGTCAACATGACCGGACTGGTTGATCTGACACTGTCGAGGAACACGATACACCTGATTCGACCTATGGCCTTTGCTGACCTGGAAAGTCTGCGCTCTTTGCACCTGGATGGTAAGCCATGATCAGTTTTCCCCCCAAGTTCTCCAGTAAAGAATATTAATTTAGTACGTTTTTACAGGAGAACTATTCTGGCATTGTGTTATTTAGGTAACCGCTTGACAACGATTGGACCCAAGGACCTTGCAGGTTTGACTAACCTGCAACACCTGATAGTCAACAACAACCAGCTGGTGAAAGTCTCCGTCGAGGCTTTTGATGACTTCCTGCTCACTCTAGAGGACCTCGACATGTCCTACAATAATCTTCGGAGGCAAGTTTTTCTTTTTTTTTATTAATCAAAATATATTCCCTAACATCAGGCTTGTCGATAGTTGGCTCTTTCCAGAAATACTCATGCTACATCTGATAACACCATCTAAACTAAGACAGATTTCACCTTCCACACACAAGAACTTCTTTCCTTAAGCTTACTCTCTTAAAATGGCCTTGATCTCGTCTAACTTCTTATGCCTTAGTCTCTAAAATGTGTCATGGACAAAACAAATTTGTTGCTTGTCGATGTGTGGCAAAGTTCACTTCATGAATTATCCTGTTCAAGCTTTTGAAATAACCCATAAAGTAAAACTTTAAGATGTTAAACTCTGATTAATGAATAGAATGATTAGACATTTGAAAACTTTAAAGAAATGTCAGCTTCAACCATGAAATGGTTTTACCTGCAAAGACTGATATTTTTAACAAAATCTCATTTGAGTTTCTTTTTTGTTCTCTTCTATGTCAGAAGTAAATAAACATGTTTGTCATTGATGGTAAATAAATCTTTGATTAATTTACTTGCTTCTCTACATGTGGAATGTAATCCCCTCAAAGGTAAAGAGAATTTAAGCTTTAGCTGATAAAGCTTATTAATGCACATTAGTTTGATGTAACACAGTCTGTCAATGTTACACAATCGACAGGACTAACAATATCTTTTTTCCTCAACTGGGTCTCAATATGGATCCAAACTAACAATAAAAAAGGTTCCAGAATCCAAAGGCACAATAGCAACAGCCAGTAACATCTGAGTCAGTGAAGACTGTTATGAACGCAACGTTAAAACTGCTGAGGCCAGAAGATGACTGAGAGCTCAGAAAACTAAATCAATTTTGATGAGGTTATAATTTTCTTTCACTTCGATTCAGTTATGGCTCCAATGAAGGCATTGTGAAGCTCACTCCTCTGAATGACTATACATTACTATGGATACTGTATACGGTTCATACTTGAGTGCACAATGTAATACTTTGCTAAGGTCATTATAGAACAATGGATGATTTTTACAGCTTCGCTATTCTTCTGGGCTAAATAGTTTGGCTGAATAATCACAGTCCTCTCCTCTTTCCAAAAGCAGCACACAATGCAGATCATTTTAGCAGCAGTCGGCTGTCGGTCGTCATTAAAATGTTTCAATTGTCTCTCCAAGATGAGCACTGCAGCCTTTCTGAGGCCTCTACCAAACCTTGAAAGTGCAGAGTTGCAGTTCTGAACAGAAAAGCAGCTGCTGCTTGAATCACTCGGTGGCTATTAAGGAGTCTATTCTGAGCGTTGAAGAATCCGTGTCACACTCTCCCACAATGGGTAAAAATACTCTGGAAACGGGTTAAGTCACGCAAGAAACTCTTCAGATCCGACTTATCAAGGTAGAAGTTTCACCCTGTGACCCTATTACGCGCAAACTGAATTTTCATGTTCTTGATGAATTCACTTTCAAATGAACAAGCCTTGTAAAAAAAAAAAAAAAAAAAAAAAATCCATTGACAATTTACAGCTTGGGTTTATATGATGGTAATTTGCAATGATATTAGGTTGCTACGTGATGGAAATGACTGCAAAAAGTTGATAAAAACCAACTCATCTGCACTGCGTTTCTGCACTACTCCAAAATGAACTACAAGCATCAATTCAGTGATCTTATTGTTAGCTCAGAGGAAAGTGCTAATGAGGAGAGAGCAGCTGATATCACTCTGTCATTCTGATTGAATTAGAAGAGCAGAATAGTGGCTGTAAAAGGAAGCAGTGGAAGAAAACATGTTTGCATTTGCGTTAAAACTGCTTCACTGGGAGTAGCACTGCTGCTAATAATATGAGCGCCTATTAAACACTCAGAAATGCAAAAGAGAAAGGTGCAGTTGGTTTAAAGAAAGGAAGGCAGCGGCTTTTAGATGCTAGCTAGGTGTCAAAAAAGAAGCCAAATCTGTCCAAGAAAATCATCAAGTGAATGGAGTACAGAGGACTGAAGCGAGGTTATTTTTTTTCTTTTAACGCCCCTCCAATTTGTTTGGGACATCTGGAAAGTGATTTTCTCAGAGGAGAGAAGGCGAACACCGCTATTAGTCGTTTGTAGTGGTGACACTGAAGCATCTATAGACGTTGCTACGAAAAGAAAAAAACTGGGATCAAAAAATTCCTCTAGAGAAATTGGATTCATTCCCTTGATATAAATTGCAGCTCTGATATCCAAGGTGAACTGCCAAAGTCTTAAAAAAGATTGGTAAAATGTACTCTTTGAATAAACTATATGTACACTCACTTGACAGTTTATCAAGTATACATTTGTAGGACTGGGTTTGACAGACTTACAACTTCAGAAATTATACTTTGTTAAAAACATTTCTCAGTAATTTTAGTCCATTTTGAAAAGATGATGCAATTGAAGCAGATTTGTCGCCTGCACATCCATAATAATCACCTGGAAGTGCTCAACTGGACTGAGATCAGGTGACCATAGAGGATTAGAGTGATTAGCATGAACTCACTCAAGATGGCTACACCAAAGGGTCCCAATGCGGTGGACATGAAGGACAACCACTCACAAAAGGAAGCTCTGCTCGAGTGTGATAAACAAGCAGTTTCTGAAATACTCAGACCAATTCCTCTGGCACAAACAAGTAGATCATGTTAAAAGTCACTTAAATTTCCACTCTGATGTTTAGATTGAAGTTTATCAGGTCATTTTCATCAAGTCCATATGTCTAAATGCATGAAGTTGGGTCCATGAGACTGGCTATTTGTACTCTGACGTAATTGATCAAGAGCATCTCTCACAAAGTATTTGATACCAGTTATGTTTTATTTCAAAAGCAGAACAGCTTTACAGTCTCAAAGGTTGTACTGACAAATGTATGATCGGCTAAATTTAACAAGATCAAAAGGTTTTGGGAGAAAAATACCAGAGCTAATGGATTCCTGAACTCGAAGCTAAAAGCACAATGCACACTTTTCTCCAAGCTACCCGTTGCCTCTCGTATGTGAACAATGTGGAAACATTCACAACTGCAGAACGATGGTGATGATATGCTGGAGACACGGAGTTAGTGAAAACAACCAAAACTGGCTTTGGTCTTTGCCAAAAGCAGTCCTGTTCATTATCCTTTAACTTTACCATTCTTTGTCATCAAATGATGCCCAGCTGAACAAAAACAGTTACAGAAAAAACTCTGAGAAAGGAGCAAAATGTGACACCAACACGCCACGAACAGCTACCTTCATGTTTTGCTGTCTGATTTCTCAGTTGTAAGTTGAAAACATTGAACAGTGCTAAATAACTGTAATAAAAGTTGTGCTGTGAATTGAAATCTGAACATCTCATAAAAATTTTGCAGTTTTTGCCACTTCTCTGAACCACAGCTGATTTAATCACAATCCTTTTAAAGAAATTACCATCTTACATTGTGTTAATCCGCCCACGAGGGAGAGGAAACCATCAAGGAGACCAGTTTTAGTTTCAGATAATCTTTCATTTTTTCCCTCTCAGATGAGCATCCATCATGGCAAAGTTTACTTTTTGAAAAAGTCTCTCTGGAATCCCTCTAAATATCATCTTATTCCTACAGGGTGCCATGGGAGTCTATTCAAAACATGGCCAGTCTCCACACTCTGAACCTGGACCATAACCTAATAGACCACATAGCAGAAGGAGTCTTTGGAGAGCTTTATAAGCTGGCGCGGCTGGATATGACCTCCAACCGGCTCAGGACTCTGCCACCTGATCCATTCTTTGCAAGGTACATCTTAAGATTTCTCCTTTCAGTTCTGTAAGGAAAAGGCTTCTGTGGGAAAACACTGAATGTAGTTTTTGAATGTGTTTGCTATGGTGACATCCTACATTGACTTGCAAAGCAAAAACCTGATGAGTTTTAATATTTTAGCTTAAAATAAACTATACCATGCCCAGCTGCTTCAAAAGCTTAGATCAGTGTTTTTCAACCACTGTGATGCGGCATACTAGTGCACCGTGAGCGAGGTGTTCAAAAAATTTGAAGGTACGGTTTGTAGTATGGGGCGCTCATAGTCCGGAAAATACGGTAATTGGTCTTAAAAGATTTTTGAAAACGAATTAATTATCTCCAAATAACGCCATCTTTGAGTGTTTTTGCTGTAGTAGTGACTAGTGGCGTAATCATGTAATTTTATTATCACTAGATGGCAGTAGGTACAGAGCATTTTACATTAAAACAAGAGAATTAGTGATCACACACCACAGTGTTGTGGCACTGTTCAGGTGTTCAGGTGTATTTTTGAAGTGGACATGTTAAGTGCAATTTGAAATAAGAAATGTAAAATATGATAAAAATAAATTTGTGTGTTTATTTGATTCCTATTCAAGACACTTTGATAAGAATGACTATATATGTAATATAGGCGGCTACAGAGTATCTTTGTTTTCGTTTTTGGTTGGTGATGTGCCTCGTGATTTTTTTCAATTAAAACAATGTACCTTGGCTTAGATTGTACATTAGCCAACAAATTTTCCATCACTTTGGTCTTGGTCCAACTGAGCAGCACGTACTTTTAAAAAAACATTTGAGAATGTAGTCACTGAAAGCAACATCTCATTTGCTGCTGAAGGTTTAATCTATATGCTGCCTAATGCACCCATTTCTTGCTTTAATCCAATTATAATTAATATGGCACTTTTAATGAGTGCTTAATTAAAAAAAATAAGGTAAATATGTAATTTGATGTAATTTTTTCATCTGCCTCTTTGGAAACCGTAAGAAAGGAACTTTAAGTCATAATTTTCTCAGTATTTGCCAAACATCCAAATCACCTGGGGACTAGAATATAGTAAGTTAAATAAGAAATACAAACAATTTTCACACATTTTACTTCCCACCAGATCACAGACGGGAGCGATTAGTCCAACTCCCTACAATGCTGTCATAAGCCTGAATTTTGGAGGGAACCCACTCCACTGTAACTGTGAGCTGCTGTGGCTGAGGAGGCTAATCAGAGGGGACGACATGGAGACATGCGCCACTCCGACACACCTGGCTGGAAGGTAGGAGTTAAACACGCCGATGGATCAGTCATGCTGGTTCTAGAACAAAAAACATTTCTGAGTTAGCCTGGGTTGGGTTTTCTGGAGCCTGAGTAGTATGTACATGGTACTTTCATGGACTTTTTATGACTAATTGAATCAGATAGTACTTCCCCTGAACTTACCAGCTACTTTCCTAAAACTTTCTCAGGATCTTAGAAGAAATTTTCCAAAGACTCTCTCTAGAACTTAGCATGTACTTTCCAAGGACTCTCTCAAGAACTTAGGTATTTTTTAAGGACTCAAGAACTTAGCAGGTACTTTAATAAGACTTTCTCTAGAAGTTAACAGACACTTTCCTAAAACTTTCTTTGGAACTTAGCAGGTACTTTCCTAAGACTTTCTCTAGAAGTTAAGAGGTACTTTAATAATACTTTCTCTAGAAGTTAACAGATGTATTCTTAGAACTTTCAAGAAACTGAAACTTTTTTGGGAACTTACCCTGCATATTCCTAGGACTTTTCCATGAACTTACCAGGTACTTTCCTAGAAGTTTCCCATGAATTTATGAGGGGTTTCCTAGTTCTTTATCTGATCTTATTGGGTACATTTCCAAGGACTTTCTCTGAACTTAAAATATTATTTCAGCAAATTAACTGCTAAGGTCTAGGAAAGTATCTGCTTTGCCCATGAAATGTAACCTCCATGTTCCAGGTTGTAGACTGTAACCTAAAAGTCCACCATGACCTTTTAGAAAACATAACTTTGCGGTGTGAGCAGAGAAAATGAACCTCTGTTACAGTCATCTGTCCTTAATTAGTGTTTGCTAAGTGTAGCATTACATGTTCATACAGCTGAATATTCCTTGACCCTCAATATATTAACTTTAAAGACTATTCCATGAGTCTGCTGAAACTTTCTCTGAGGTAATAATTCTCCTTCTTCCTTTGGTCTTCTAGATATTTCTGGTCAATCCCAGAGGAGGAGTTTACGTGCGAACCACCTCTCATCACCCGTCACACCCACAAGCTGTGGGTGCTGGAGGGACAGCGTGCCACTTTAAAATGCCGTGCCATTGGAGACCCTGAGCCAATAGTCCACTGGGTTTCTCCAGACGATCGCATCGTTGCCAACTCTTCCCGGACCAGCTCCTTTAGCAACGGGACTCTGGATATCTTGGTGACGGTGGCCCGGGATGATGGAGCGTACACATGTATTGCGATAAATGCAGCAGGTGAAGCTACCGCCACGGTGGATTTGAAAATAATTCCCCTGCCTCACCGAGGCGGGGTCAGTGGAAACACTGGGGTAAACGCCGTTAACGGAAAAAACAACAGGAGTACGACCAATGGGATTTTACGGACAGATCCAGGTTCGTCGGATATCAGCACAGGGAAAAACGGAGGGATTAACAATGGCGCGGGACGCGGAGCAGAGTCCGACAACGGGAGTTTAGGAGACGGAGAGGCCAACGAAGGAGAGAGCGGAAAATCCTCTGAGGGAGAGAGGGCAGATGGAGGAAGCATGGAGGATGACGAGGGGGGCGAGGAGGAGGGCAGGATGGTTGGAGTACAGGGAGTGACCTCCACCTCGGCTCAGGTGCGGTGGGATTTGGGACGTTTGTCCGAAGCGTACGTTGTGTGGATGTATCAGATACAGTACAACTGCACTGCCGACGAGACCCTCATCTACAGGTAAGTTGGTCTTTATATTCAACAGCAATCAGAGCCTTTCTTCTGGTTTCAGTTTTGATATTTTATGTTCAAGTCAACTCTTGCCAGCCTATCCATAAAAAACATGAAGCCTGTTTACCTTCAAAGATCCTTAAATATTTATCCCTTACATTGAAACTGTTCATTTTCTGCACTGACAAGCAGACAGCTCAAGGGACGGATGAATGTGAGCTCAAATGAGGAAATGGAGGCGCAAAGGTAGTAAATAATTTATGCCCATCACTGTGTGACACCAAAACCCTACAGGTGAATAGTTACAGGACATAAATGAGCAAAGAAAGGGATTTACAAGGGGATGAATAATTTAAGAAGGGTGTTTTAAGGTAGGAGAGCGCGCTATGAAGCGTGTTCTGCAACATGAAAGCCTGCAGATGCAACCACAGTGCAGAAGTCTTAATATCCACAAATTTCCTATTTAGTCTCATCATTTTGTTGGATTGTTGATAGATCAATATAATATGATATATTTTGAAGTGGTGATGGTTTTTGTTTTGTCAGATGGGACCAAAATCTTTTTTGGCACCCCACATTTTAATCAATAATTTGACTAATAGACTAAAATTTCAGTAACTTGATGAAGTAAAGATGAACTACAAATGCACTGAAAGGTGGTTCTGTAATGCACCGAAGGTCTGAGAAAAAATGCAAGCAACACTAACTTCCTTTTCAGTTTGTCACACTAAATTGTGACAAAATGTAAAAACTTTCAGAATTGAAATGTGTTCAAAACTAACTGGATGCCAGTCTTTTTATTATTATTTAAAAACTAAATATATTTAGTTTAAAAATTGCCAACCTTGCAATCCAAAATCTAGAGCTAAACAGAAAGACAGAAACAAGACCTGACTCAGGAGGGAGAAGGAAACAAGCACCTAGATTTATAGAGTGGCTTCTAGCTATTTGGTGTACTTACATGTTCAATACCACTTCCAAGTTCATGAATTATGTCTGTGCTTCGAGTTTACTGCCTCTGAATTTACAAGCAGAGCCTGATGAAACTTTAAAATGATGGAACCGTTGTTAGTGGGAAACAGCAGCTGAGGCAGCGAGGAGGGGCGAGACCAACAGCATTCGTTTTCTGGATTTCAACTGGCACCATTAGAGGCATTCGCTGTCGCTCCCCTTAGGTGTTATAAAGAAGGCATTAAGCAGCAAGGAGGACTGAGAAAGGGGCAAGAGGTGGTAACTGCATGACTGGAGGAGGCAGAGAACACAGTGAATTGATTGGGAATATAAAAATAAATGGAAGAGCTATAATTAGAGTCAGGAGGGACAGTCAGGTGAATATGAGGTAAAAATGAAGGCTGTGAGATCTCAGGGGGAGTAGAAGAGAGACTGAGGGAGTGAGGGAAGATAGATGACAGGCTGCGCTCAAATCACCTTAGGAGAGTCTGAGATAAGGAAGGGATGGGTGACAGAAGACAAACTGACAGGGACTGAGGGGAAAGAGAGAGGAGGTGGACCCAAAATGCTCCTTCAGGACAAACCAAGAAAATGAAGATAGAAAAAGGGAGATTTAAATGCAACCTCCTAAAATAGACTCAGAAAAAGAAAAGGTGTGAACAGATGACAAAAAAAAAACCAAGGTGAAGAAGTAGGGTTTGAACTGGAAATGAAATATGCCAGAAGATGTGAAGCATCTTTAAAGACTACAAGTCCATTATCTCAAAAAATACTATTTTAAAGGATAAACATGGAAAAAGAACCAATATTCAGCCCTAAAAAGCCAAAAATGCCTCAGATGGGCTGAACTAAACGAAAAACAAAGTACAAAGAAATCGTTAAATTTTGGGGGTTTTATTTATGGAGACAAAATAAAAGTGATCAGGACTTCTCCAGTTTCTAAAATTATTTAAAATTTAACTTGCTGGGGTGAAAAAAAACAGACTCCATGTCATTTATTAAACAGCAACCACGCTTAGGAGTAAGAATAGCAGCCTGTGTGAAAGTCTGAAAAATACAGGTGTGTGCTAACAACGCCAAGGTGGACGAAGGTCAACCATCACCTTCCAGAAGCAATTTCTGCTGCTTAATAAATCAGTGAAGAATTATAAGTCCATTTTGAAACCATTCAAAGTCCATTGTTTTACAGTGAGAGATTATTAACAAGTTGAGCACATTTATGACAGCTTCCAGTCTCCCTGAAGCAATTTTCTTAGATTGTATGGCTCAGAGGAGTTACAAAACACCCCAAGAGCTCCATCCCCGACTCTGCAGGCTTCAGTTTGCCTTTTAGATGTTAAAGTTTTTGACAGAGCAATTAGTGAAACACTCAACAAGTATAGCTTGTTACAGCTGACAGGAGAAAGCCTCGTCTCTTGAAAAAGAAAATAGCACCACGATTTAGTTTTTGAGACGTTGCTTCAAACTGAACTGCAGCACTTCTAAAACATTGTCATCTGGACAGACCAAATCATTGACGTTTGGACCAATCCGTGATTGGAGGAAATCTCACAGCGCACTGGCACAGAAACGTTATTCTACCTGGTCACGCACGGTGGAGGAGGAGTGATTACATGGGTTTGTTTAGCAGCTATAGAGAGCTGCAGTTTATTGCTGCTAAATGCGGTTCCAAATCGTTGGGATATATTGATGGAGACGTCACACGCAGCGTCTTCAACAATTCTGTTGTAAACTCGTTTGATTAAAACAACTACACAACCTGGTAAAGACCCGAATTTTTACTATTTTCTGAAAAGTAAAAGCTCAGCATGAACACAAAAGGTGTATATCAGTTTTATCATGACTGTAGTTAATCAGAAATTCTAAAATTTAATGACTCTTTACAAGCTCCCAGTAGGTCATTAGCGAGCTGCTTAGGTTACATCAAAGCAATGCAAATTAAAGGACAACATATGGAAATAATGAGCAAACATTTTACTAAATTGCAAACAAAGGCTATAACATTGATTGTGAAACATGACCTTGAAAAATGCTCATGAATTCTGATAATTAGCAAACAACCTCCACATTTGCAAACCCTTTTTCATTAAAGTCTCACGCCTGCAATTTGTTTCCTCGGTTCTCTCACAAGCTTTTAACTTTCAGGTTTGGCAAAAGCTAAAAATCCACAAAAGATGTGTGTTGAGCAGGTATTTGTTGAATTGCGTCTCCCCAGGCTGAGTTTACCTCTTAAAGACAAAGACGTGTCAAGTAAAGACTTTAAAGGAGCCAGCTTTGGGCTTTATGTGAAGTGATGCCTCAAACATACAGTCTGAAGAGAAAGAAAACCAAGATGGCCAAGAAGGGATAAACATGGCGAGCCAAGACAATTCAAACAGAGCAGATATTTAAGTTTAGTAAAGGGGGTATCTGAGGTTTAACTAGAAAAAAAACAGAGTTTTCAAAGTAGCAGGATAAAGGCTATGTTTTATGCGGAAAGCTGCAAGTGCTATAGTATATGATGACACATTTATCTTGTCTTAGAGCCCACCAAACAACTGCTCTCGTTACAGAGGAAGGGATGGATGAGTGTTAAGCTCTGTGTCCATGTTGACTGTTTGTCTCCAAATTGCTTTGTCAGAGGCAGTTTGAAAGACATCATGCATGAAGTCGTAGCACACAGATTAACGTTGAGGGTCAAATTTGACCACAGCACAGGCTACCTCAGAGGTTTTATCCACTTCTGCTTTTCTAAGTGTGCACAACGATTACTTTAGGGTGAGTGCATTGCAAATTAAAGGGTCTAAAAGACTTGAATGTGCTGGTAATAACATTAGCATGCTACCAGTAGCATAATAGTGGGAGAGACAACATTAGCAAACTAATTTAATAAATATTAGTGTGTTCTAATTAGCAATGTGCTAGCAAGATTGTGCTAGCATTAGCATAAACCTGTTGTCCATACTTATACTTGTACAGTTTTAAATACAAGTGTATTAAAAGCTTAAGGCAGTTGATGTGTAAGGTTTTTGTTATTTGCATAGACATTTTTGAATATAATTTTTGTAAAAAAAAAAAAAATATTACAAGACTGAGCTCCATTTTTACCAGCTGGTGTTCAGCACTAACTGTTGCTAGGCAACGGAGCGCATACACCGAGGTAAGGGATAACTCTGAAGGCTAGCTCATCCAGTTTCATAACCGCTCACCTCCGGTCTTAGGCTGGGTTCTTTAGTCGCTGAAGAACCAAACCTACGTTGACCAGATTGGTTGGATCCTTCAAAAGATCCAGACCTTGAATTTGAACATCCTCCATTTGCAGTCACGTTAAAAACAGAGTGCTGGGGCGGTTGTGGCGCCTGTTGTAGAGAATGTGAACCATAGAGACCTCAGACAGGTTTGAGTCCCGGACCGTTGACCTTTCCTGCATGTGTGCCGGTGCTTGTAGCACAAGGGTGCTAGCATTATCGATAGCGTGGTCCATCTGCTCAGAAAGTCGTCTGGTCTGTTATTGGTTCTTAAACAACATAAATTTACTGTGCACTTAAAAGGGCAATAGAAAAACTGCTAGCTTGCTGAACAGAGCACTATATGGTGAACGATTGGATGAAAACAGCTGACATATTAATTCTGCACACAACACTGCAGCTACTAAAACAAAAATCAGCTCTATAATGGGAGGATATGTGCTGAACGGTCTTAAATGATGTTTATTTGGTTTCTGTTGTGCACTAAGGCATAAAACAAGAGGTGAAGTTTTAAATCGGAACAAGCAGGAAGACATGTATGGCGTTCGGCAAGCATCCAAAAACACCTGGCTTCAAATACAAAATATATGACCCCTGCTAAAGCTTTACAACATTATGTTATAGGACCATTTCACAGGAAACAGATCAAACAGTAGCTGCCACCAACAAGACAGACAGAAGACGGGGTGACGGGTGTATAAAGACACAAACTTCAGAAATGAATCGAAAATACAGCTCAACTTTTAAACTGGGGATTAGACAAAGGGATTGACAAAGCAGAAGAAAATAGGAAAATCAGTCTGAACAGATAAAGAGGAAATCAAAGTGGGG